GTGGATTGTCTGGTAAAGTTGCCAATATTATACTATTTACGATAGAAGTTTTATATTTTGAAAACTGGTGAGTGAGTGAGTGAGTTAAGATACTTAGTCACGTCGGCAATATTTTAACCATATAGTGACTGACACAAGTTTTACAATTGGAGTATGTGGTGTAATAAACAAACACAAAACCATCAATTTGACATATTAACAGACCAATGACAAATTGTTTTTATAATTGTGTGAATGTAATTTTGAACGACCGATCAACATTGAATTGCTGAGCCCCCATGGAGCTACATGGCGAAGGTTATCTGACCTCATAGGTGATAATAATATCTGTGAGTGAGTGAGTTTAGTTTTACACCGCACTCAGCAATATTCCAGCTATATGGTGGCGGTCTGTAAATTATCGATTCTGAACCAGACAATCCAGTGATCAACAGCATGAGCATCGATCTGTGCAATTGGGAACCGATGACATGTATCAACCAAGTCAGCGAGCCTGACCACCCGATCCCGTTAATCGCCTCTTTCGACAAGCATGGGTTACTGAAGATCAGTTCTGACCCGGATCTTAACGGGAATAATATCTGTGAAATGTTTGCGAACAAGTCACTTCCCTTTTGTCAACATGTTGCATGTACACAGGCTAAACTCGGGGACACAGCTCGAGCTTATGACGTCACGCCCTGAAGACAACCGGCCAGTCTGCACATCTTCTGCAGTGCATCAGATTTAATCTTGGAGAAAAGGGAGAGGTTGTCCGTTGAGCTTATTTCCCATTTTATGAAATTTAATGCCTGAAAATACGAATGTACACACAGGTTGTGCCTATAAAGTGACCTATCACCTCGATTAAGTTTTTCTGTGATTTTATATTTGTGTAGGCTATTCTGCATTTTTGTTTCAACCTGAGTGAGTGAGTTTAGTTTTACGCCGCTTTTAGCAATATTCCAGCAACATCACAGCGGAACACCAGAAATGGGCTTCACACATTGTGCCCATGTGGGGAATCGAAACCTGAGTCTTCGGCGTGACGAGCGAACGCCTTAATCACTAGGCTACCTCACCGCCCTTTCAACCTGAGGAAAAAAAGTACAAGTATAGATTTTGCCGTGCGGTTCCACTGAAACATGTATCCTGAGATTGGGGTAAAGTTTCAAATCAGAGCAGCCAACCATAGGAATCTTTAATTAGGCGAAAATGGAAATAATTGTTTTAAAAGCTTTCGCACACAAGTGACGAATTATTGAATTTTTATGTGCAATCAACCGATCCATTTGGTTGACCCTCACGAACAGAATATGTTGTTGGGAACTAGGGTACGATTACACCGAACCGTGACCCCGTTACTTTCGTGTTACGACCATCGCGATCGCGAACTGGCAGAGGGTCGCGGGGAGCCTTTCCCTTGATCGCTATTTACGGTTACGCCAAAAATCATTTGCAACTGAGAACAGAAACTTCCCAGTTTTATTGATTACGACCGCTCTCATAGATCTTAATCGGGTATCAACAGAGTCGCTTCTAGTTTACGAGTCTATTTGCGTGTTTATTAGCGAGTGTGCTACGACCCAGTTGCGACCCCCTTGCAACCACTTGTGATTGACTTCCTACCGCATTGAGAGTGCTGTTCGAGCCCTGTGGCGATCGTTGCGACAGTCGGCGATCGGTGTGAGCGTATGCGATCGAGTTGCAACTCAATCAGGATTAGTAGGAACTCCTAAAACTTTTGCGATCATTGATGCAACCGAATGGGGAGTCTGTTACGATCAATGAGACCGAATTCATAGAGTATGAGACATGTACCATCTCATTGCGACTGTTTTGACAGCAAAAACACTCACAAACCCCTTTGCGACTGATCGAGGTCAACTGCGATCAAAGAGACCATATTTGAGACCATGGAGACCGCGTTGAGACTAATTTGCGATAGTATTGCGAGTCTTGAGGAATGATTGCAAGCAGAGGCCAATTTTCGGTGGTAACTGGGTCTCAAGCCCGGTGTAACTACCGGGTGTAACAGAGAATCCCAATAGGGGAAGATAAACCTGGAAGCTATTAGCATGCGAGTTTAATTTTGTGTTTACAATAATTGCTCTCACTCGACATCTGATGGGATTTGTAATGGATTCAGCAATCCACAATCGTTAGTATCCATTTACATACATCCCAACAGTAGAGGGAAATACTCCTTGTATCCATAGTAACTCCTTGAACCACCTTCAAGGTGACCTAAGACAAGGTCTGCTGTGATGATGGATGTGTCATAAAAGACAAACCTTGATTAAACTGGGAAGTCTTTATTTCTCAAATATAATGATGATATTCCTGATCTACCACTCTCCAGCATACATGAAGCTCTCCACTGAAAGCCAATCGGGACTAGGATTCCAGGGTTACAACAGATCAACGAACAATCTTCATGGCAGCTGCCACAATAGATGACACTTGGGATGGAGAGGAGCAGCTCGAACCAGTGCTTCAATAGCTTCATGTAAACCCACCACACAAAATACCTAGCATAGCATTTATCCTCAAGATAAGTCTCTAGAAGCATCTCATACCACTGAATGAATTTTGTCAGGTAAGAAAGAACAGGCAGAATGTTCTTCTTAGGCATTCATGTCCAATGTGTAATCTGTTAGGTTGGAAATTAACATTCACCCAGATTTTAAAACTTGATGTTACAGGTATCAAACAGGCCTGTTCATATCATCTGATAGGTATTTGTGAAAGTTTATCAGTGACTCCAAATCTGAGGATATGAGCTTCCTTCCCAAGTGGCAGCTAGGTGCTGCTGTGAACGTGCTGGGATGTGGTGGAGAGACAGCAGTGAGGCAGGTCATCTCAAGCTGCTGACCAACACCCTGCTACACCGCATGTCAACATCTATAAACTTAACACAATGTTAATGAGAAACCTTAATGATTACAATAAGAACAAGGGAATAATTGCAACATTTCTGTAGTTTTAGTTTGGTTTCAACACGGAATGCCACACATCATCAGTAGAGAACAGCATAGCATTTCTTAGGTTTCAAAATAAACAACCTGAGTGGTTAAAGTGGTTAGAATGGTTTTTCGGTCAGTTGGTAAGGTTTTGACATTCTATATTAACAAAGCAGATTCTGGTGTATCAACAGTTAAATAGACTAGACATATATACATGCTCATCTATGACAGTCAAAACAAAATCTGGATAAAATGTCATCCCCGCAGATATGAACAGATCATCAGGGCTGTTTTCTACTGCTGGCAAATAACAGAGCAGTAGTTAAGTCATTTCAATAAAACATTGAAGCATTATGTACAAACTTTTCCTAATACAATCCTACCCTTGTTTTAAACCAAGGGTAATATTTCCTGGACGAGTCTGACAAAATTTGGAATGCCCTTCAGCATAAACAGCCCTGGATGAGAGATTCAGTTGGCAAGCTCTTTGTGCTCAACACGATTAATGTCTTAGTTGTACAATATCACCAACAAAAGGGGGATAACAAGTTCCTTGAGCAAATAAATGTTCCTGATATCGTCAATTCTGTATGCAATCACACTACTGGTATTCAGGAAATAAAGAGCCTGTGATGGACAGATTTCTCTACATGTAAAACAAACTGTAACATATATGACATAACTTTAATATCCCCACAGACATGGGGTAAAGCTTTGGTACAATACGTAAAGCATCTTATTTGGCAGAAAACTGAATTGGAATAAACATAGCAACTGCTTATTTTAAATCAACAAATGTGTAATGACTGGGACCAAATGTCCGGGACAATAAAACGTGATGGTATCATATGTACAGAAACATTTGAATGTTTCAAGAATATACATTTGATCTGAAGTCCTTTCACCAGCCTTTTCCACATTATTTCTTATCTCACATGACTTGAGACTTTGCTGCTTCAATAATTACTATTACTTCATTTAATATTCCTACATCTCAGGACATGCTTATTGTGATGAATCCTTCATAGTTATCTGTCATAATATGGTGAACAGAATTCCCTAATTGTTCTGACTAACATTTCTAAAGTGAACTGTACCAACAGGTCTGTGACTGCTAGTGATATGTAATATAGATGTGTTCTACAAATCAAACTTTCTCACAAAAACTGCAGGTTTACATCAACAAAAAATCCTCAGTTCATACAAAGAAAAACAGCTATAAAGCTGATAAAATATTACAAAGCACATAAGTTAAAAGTTAGCAATCTCATCATTACAATACTAACTCAACAAGTGTTATGCTTCAAACTGACAAATACACTGAAACTTAAAGTTCCATACTTAACATCAATGTTAAAATACAAACTTGTGGTAAGGTCAGTTTCTTCAGGAGTAGATAGATATCACAAAGAGGTCTAGCTAGTTACAACTGGTGAATTTGGATGTAATGATACAAAATCGTTAAACCATGAAGGGTCTGCACGTTTGTTCTATGTACAATGAACTTGTGCAAACTTGACACTTGGGTAGCCAAAGGCAGGGAAACCAATGAAACAAACAATTATCTGATCAACACCAATTCCAAGGAATCATCAAGAGGACACTGTTTCACGCCGGCCAACGATGGTCGCAAGCACAGACCACAGACCAAGAACACATTTACACTAGAATGGGGCCAAACAGGTAGTACAAATATGAGGAAATATGTAACTGCTAAACGGTCAGTGTACAGAACATGTCACTCTTCCAAACATCAGCTGCTTCGTATGGTCAGATCTAGATTTAATGCCCAATGTTTAAAAACATACTGGGCCCCGTTCCTCAAAGCGATCGTAGCGCTAAGATGATTGTAACTCCCATACTTTAACATAGGCTTACGACTGTCGTAGCGCTACGATCGCTTTGAGGAACGGGGCCCTGGACTGCAAATAAAGCAACAGAATCTTATCAGGATAAATTTGATAAACCTATGCTATATCTCCTTTTGAAAGTTCAGCAGAAGTTGTCATGTTGCACATTGTCAACAGAAGTAAAGGTTGAGGCAAACAGTTTTTGACTCCAGTAAGAGAATCATTGCTTACTTGTGCAAAATTATATTTCCGTTATGGTATTGCAATAGATTTAACAAAAAATTGACTATCCGAACATCTATAAAACATGGAATACTCTAATAAAACAGTTAGAAATATAAAAATAAGAGTATACACAACAGTGTCATAAACACTTTTCTTAAAATTTGGAACAACTCAAATCACTGAACATTACAGTCAACGCATAGAGCGAAGTCCATCAAGCTGACATCATGGTTCTCAGCACATGGCGGCTATAGCGAGAGAAGCAGACACATCAACGTAGATCCGAGATGTTTGTCTTTGAGCCAAACACGGACACCAGCTGTTCTTCGTAGTTGTCAATGTTGCGTTTCATCACATCCATACATGGACCCAACAGACGCTCAAAGGCTCCAACATCAAGCACTGAAATAAATGAAGTTTTTATCAACCACATTGATCAGTAAGTAGCCATCATCCATTGGCCAAGCACATCATTGACAGAAACACTGCATTTGACAATCCTACTTACAATATAAAAACTCTTAAACATGTTCAACAAATATAGCTGTCCTGAAAACCACAAAGTAAAGTGTTCCATAAAATTAAATCATTCTATTGAATATTTGCAATGGTACATTCCAGGTAAATTCTTGTCAACATAAGAAAAGGCATAAGATCAAGTAAAACAACTGACTTCATTGTACTAAGTTTCTGTAAACTGGATGCAAATTCTTTCATACTTTATGTAATGTGACACAAGATACTGCAAACTGAGTTACCTCCCTTTAACTACAATTCTTCGAACTATCAATGCATTCTCACAAACATGACAGGTTACCAGTAATATTTGCACCACACCACAAAAAATGTTCATCCCGCAGTGCCAGGAATACAATTTACTGATCACAATTCAATTTTAGCTAATCTACTCTACATGAGGACAAATGTATGAACCACTGACCTGCACACTTGGTTTTACCCATAGAATACGCTGAAGCCGCTCGTGGCTTGTGTGTGACCAGGGCGAGCTCTGAAACAGGCGGTGTTTGGATAAAGGATGCATTTACAAAACATTGTACACAATCATTTTAAAGATCCAAAACAATTATGGAACATCATGTATAGATCCGTCTGTTATCCTGTTTACAAAACCTAATAAATAATATCATTAACATAAGGAATACGGAATACATTCATTACAATTCCATTCACTTCCACAGTTTCACACAATTTTCAATCCTAACAAGTGTCTATAATAAAAAGGGTGATCTGGGGTCCTTGAGATCATCCATGTCATTTGAATATTAGAGTAGTTAAATCCTTTTTGACATTAAGTTGGCTTGACCTCGTAACATGACAAATGCTTATTTAGAACACTGTAAACAGTCATTCAAACACACTGTGTCCACTTTTTTAATCAAACATAATCAGGTCTCATACTTTCAAACAAAAAAAATCATTAGACAATCTGAAGCACTAAGTCCAAACTAAAATAAGACGTATCTACTCAACAGTAGGAAATTTCAAAACACAGTATGTTTATTTCCTAATGCAACTCCTTTGCACTGCAAGTGTTAATACATTTGTGACAAAACATTATATACAGCCAAAGTGCTGCGTACATACTGTGATGATTGCCATGTGTAAGCATGGACACAGTAACATACACAGCATTAATACATAAACACTGGGGCTGGGTTCAGAACACGTAAAAACAGAACCACATGCCTCTTAACTCACCTGACTTAGGAAGAAATAATATTCTGATACTTGACAAAACGATGACACAATTTCACAATAAAAACTGTAGAAATGACATTTTCAATGAGGCCACTATGGCCACAAAGTTTAAAATTATTTTCAAATTTTAGTGAGATCTTCTTTTGACACCACAGCCTGGACCATTTATATAAGTTTCAGTCTGGCAAGCCTTATAGTGAGCAAGTTTGTTTTTACGCCACTTTTAGCAATATTCCAGCAATATCATGGCAGAGGACACAAGAAATGGGCTTCACACACTGTACACATGTGGAGAATCGAACCCGGGTTTTCGGCGTGACGAGTGATCGCTTTAAACACTAGGTTACCCCAACGACCTGGCAAGCTTTATAATGAAGATGGCAAAAATGCAAAAGATAAAGATGAACAGCTGGACAAAGAGTAATAACTGCTTTAGTAATCACCTCCAAAGTAGTCTCCTTTTCGGCATCGGGTCAGCTCAATTTCCTTTCCGTTCTCGTCACTCTATAAACAGACACTTACGACATGATGGCATGACAAAGAACCTTCTTGCTGAAAGCATCATACCTTTGAACACATAACACTAATCATGTCATTTAAACATAAGATATTAAACAATATTTCCATATTTAAAATTAGTCATTCACTAAACATATTTTCAATTTTTTTTTAAAAAGAGTAAATTTTATCATTACAGCCAAATCAAAGGTAATCTTATGAAGTTTGTAAACCAAGAAAATAGGGCTGGCTATAAAGACCGATAATCTGAAATCTGTTGACGGGAAGAATTATAAATGATTATCGATATGAAAATTGTGTTAATGATAATATCATGCTTAAACTATAGTGATGAAATTGCATTTAAATTTACTCAGACAAGACAATGTTTACTTGTAATAATGCAAGTCTAAATATCAAGTCTAAATATGTCACCACTCACCAGTGGTGTGACATATGTTGATTTCTTTCTGATTTTTGAGGCATTTTTGCTGAAAATACTTCTAAAATATAATTATTGATAATCAACTGATATTCATTTAGTGATTATCAATCTCTATGATCTTTATCAATAGCCATCCCTACCAGAACATATCTATCTTAATGGTACTGTGAAGGCAGAAGCCAACCACTGCAAATGGCACTACAAATTAGGGGTGCAAGTCATCAATAACTACATAGAAGCATAATATGTACAGAGAATGAAATTATTGTGGAAAACAGCATACAAATATGTGCATAAAGCAAAACTTAGTTAGAAAGACATAAATCACAAAAGTCAGGTGCATTCTCCACCACACTAACACTTTTTTCATTCCAAAGCTAATAACAGAAACATAAATGTAATGGAAATAGTGGTTGTGACATGTGTGAAGGAAATGAAAATATTTCAACTACAGAAACATGCTTACAGCATGGAAAGACAGGCACATCCTAGTCAGAGTAATCTTACATACAAGGATTATTGAGTCTGAAGTAATTATACATCTAACTAATTCATAGAAAAGAGATCAGGGCTCCGATCCACAAAGCGTTTTAACGTTACGACCTATCGTAACTGTATACTTTATCATAGGCTTATGAATGGTATAGTGCTACGGACGTTTTGTGGATAGGGTCCCAGTGTTTTCCTGATCTGAACTATGTTGAGGTATTAAAGAAGATTTGGGTTTAATGTTAAGATGCTATAAGACACAGCTGAAGAGCACAGCAATGGTGGTAAGGTTCAAACAGGGTTTAATAACAACACAGAGACCGACTAATGTTAATGTGGATTGTACCTCAAGGGGTGTGTCGCTCTCAATGCTATCATCCTACATGAACAAAATGAGTTTAGTTTTTTAGTCAACATGTTAAACAAGGTAAGTCAACATTCAAGATGCATGTGTGTTATGTAACTGTTGAGAAAGAACTTTACTTGGTATAGAACATCAGTTAAGATGGTCTGCATGTTGTTTCAGCATTACAGAAAAATCTTTTGAGTCCACAAGACTGGATATGTCTCAACTCAAATAAGCATAATTTTTAATGTAGTTTGTCATATTATGAATTTGTAACAATTTACAATTTAGACCACAGCAGATCTAATTACGATTCCTGTCACTGGATCAGTGAGCACTTGATTTCGTGCTGAACTCCCAGGGGAGTATACAAGCAAAGTATGGGACAGGGTCAAAGACCTAGAAACTCTCAGGAGTCAAACACAGCTTTCTGTCACCAGGGGTCACCATATGTATGACTTGGGTTTAATAGACCAAACAGAATTTTACTACACTCAGACTTTAGACTGGTTTCATTGAAAATAACAGATATAACAATCAAAATAATCTTACAGCACTACAATCTAACATTTTCTACAAAAATAGGTAAACATGATTAGCTGGGAGAGGTACCGGTATGCATCATCTTTAAACACATTAATCGAGATAATCAGTACACCACTGGTACCATTACACATACATGATCATCAGCTTGTGTATTTTCTTAGTAAGATGTGAAATACAAGTAATATTATCTAAATAGAAATAGAAAACTGTTACATGTTATACATTCATCTCACCTGGCTCATAGATCTACTCATACTTTACTTGCTACTCTAATACTTTGGTGCTTTAATACTTTGATGCTTTAATACTTTGATCCAATCAAAGTCTGAAATTGCAGCCATTTGAAATTCTGATGATTAACTAACAGTTGGTTTAACCACATAAGTACAAATATTCATATCTAACTTGGAATAGGAAACAATGAGCCACTTACAAATTATACTAACTGTAGTTGTCTTCCCATTCAAAGAAACTACTCAGATTAAACATAACTAAACTTATTATTCATGTCTCTCCTACCCTCATTAGTTAGGTGGCTAATAGAATAATGAAAGACTACAACTGAGAAAGCACAGTGACACTGGCATCCTTTGTATAAAAATCACTGAGTTTTCAAAAGATACTGTTGTGTGTTTTGCATTTAAGATTGGACAGCTGATCAAATCTTATCAAGCCATGTTATTCAAATGGAGGTTAAGTCTCATTATTGGGAAGATGGACCTAGTTTTGATTTCCCAAATTACAAATTATCACTGAACTACATTTGTTCATCTTCGAATCAACAGCGTTGATTGAGAAGTTCAATATTTTGTTCTTTTCATTAGTACAGTGAAATAATCAAAGATGGCCTCCTGGCAACCATTTTGAATTTACATTAATGTGTTGAACAATAAGAAATCTGGAATATGCAACAGTTACAGTTCAAACACAGCATGTTTTTTGGTCAGGTGAGCTGGGAAGCTATTTCAAAACATTTTCTACATTTTAACATGTTTTCAATGATCATGGGCACATATTATCTATGAAGTTTGTCAATGTTTTATAGTGAGTCAGTGAGCATCAGTAAGTGGCCATGCAACTAATCATCAGTAGCACACACACAAGATGCAAATCTTCTGAAATCCCTGTCATTTTAAACTATCATCATAATTGCTATGTGAGAAAACAATATCTTTCTGAACATTGCCGGTTAATGAAATTTTGTAAATCTCTACCCAAAGACCCAGATATCCTAGTTTCATTGTCTAGCTACATCTTGTCTAGAGGAGCAATGGAAGGTACTACCTAATCTAGTTGGTACAATGTAAACATGATGTACTGGTTGGAAAAGTGGTGGTCAAATAATACAAAGAAAAATCACAGGGTTAGTGAGCTTTTCCAACATCACTAAAAAAAACACAATAAGAACTACAAATTTCTTTAAATATCAGAATAAAAAACAACAACCAAAATGAATTAGGTGCAAATGCGCAGCAAAACTGAAATTTGTTTTCTAAAACATCCCATAAAATAATAAACTGAAGCTGGTATGAACTATTTTGGAGTGAAATCTGGCTACGGAATCTGGATAAGACAAAGCTAATGAAAAGAAGAGGTGATAAAATGGACTGAAAGTTCACCTTGTTCAGTGCTGCTATTCGTACTTCTCCATCCTCTATGAAGTACATGCAGTCTGCATCATCTCCCTGAAACAACAATCAGTCAGGTTAGATAGGTCCAGACAGGTCAAGTTGGGGTCCTTGGTATACCCTACAGCTAAACATTCTTGATTCAGAAGATCAACAGACTAAAGGGCAGTGGACAATCATATCTACTCAGGATCCCACTGGAAAAGATGTTGTTAGGATGAGTGAGTGAGTGAGTGAGTTTACTTTTAAGCAGCATTTAGCAATATTACAGTAATATCTTGACAGGGGACTTATTTTACTCAGATCATGTGTTCCTTTTGGCTTCTAAAACCAGTGTGTAGTTGCACTGATCATTCATGACATTCGATGAAAGGCATGACAACAAGTCCAATCCTATTTGGCCAAATGAAGTCATTGGTGTGGTGTTTGACCATTATCTGCCTGGTTCACTATCAAATGTCTGGATGTTCACATACAATCTTTGTTAAAAGTATTTTACTATACCAGTACAAGGCTAGTTGTACCCACATGTATTTGACAAAAATTAGTCTTTTTCTCATATTGACCAATTATTTTAGTTTATATTTTATGATGCTCAAAATAATGGAACAGATATATCAAGAAAACAGGTGCAATATTGACAGTAAAGGTTTGAGCTCAACATTTCCATTTCCACATGAAGGATAAGTACCATTTTTATACTGAATATGAGAAAATGATCTGCACATCTAACACCAGTACCAGTGAACTAATACTGGCACTATCTGACACAGATGTATTGTCATAATTTGATTGCATGAATAAATCACTATAGACTTCTTTTTATTGAATACTAAATCATTCACTTTAAATATGAGAAAGCATTTTTTATCCAAACAAATGGAAAATAATTTCATTCCTGTCCAATAGATCAACCAACAAATTATCTCCTGAATGCCATATCAGCCAAACTGAATATTTAGAAGCCAGAGATCTGTCAACACTAAAAAAAACCAACTCAATATCATACAAATTCATAAGTAATATTAACACCCTATCAGCAAACAAAGTCACAGAGCACACAGATCCCTGCTAATGTCTTCACTATTCACACCACCAAAATGTCACGTTATAACAGCTTTGATCAATAAATCTGCAATCGAATAACAGCACAGCCTCATAAGAAGTGGCAAGTATTTGAAAGCAGGGTTTAGACAGCAGAGACACTGCCTCAAATCCAATGGCTGCATGTGACATGACGCAGGTTGGGAAATCAATCTGTATGTTCTTACTGGCCCCCTACTCTCTAATCAAGAATAAAGAGCCCACACAACACATTGTGTTGTCACCCTGATCAATATGCAATGTAATCCTGTGGAATGCAACATATTCACAAATACTCTGGCATTGACAGAATAGGGGCATTTTTAGATATTCAAATTATATCTTTTTCTTATTCACTGTGAATATAAATTAACTCAGGACAACTGGAAGAAAACACATTACTGTGCAAGTTACAATTTAGAACATTCAGTGTCGTTTGAAGATAATTACTTCGATATTTATGGCAGTAACTATTGAAAGGATCATGAGAATTATTGAAATAGAAATGAACATTTACACATATGAGTAATGATCTTAATGTCAATCTATGCATAGATATACGGGGGCAGTGGGATAATCTAATGCCCAGTAATGGTTAAATTGTCCCCTCATCGAGCTGAAAACCTGGGTTCAATTCCCCACATGGGTACAATGTGTGAAGCCTATTTCTGGTGTCTCCAACTGTGATATTGCTAGAATATTGCCAAACTCACTCACTCACTCATAGATATACATGTACCATGATAAAAACCTAAACGTCACACGTCAATGCATTGCTGGGGAATGTGTAAATGTCCACATTCATTCCAAAATCAGTTGTCAGGTCATATGTAAGTAACCATAGGAACTCCAGTATAAAGGGAGGATTAATTCTTGAATGATTAATGGTCAGTCTGTTCAAGTACCACTAATTCTCTGTTCTATGCTGCCACAAGGGACATTCAATGCATTCAGCATTCAATGGATAAGTCAGGTAGTCTGTAATTACAAATTAATCTGGTATCCTTGACTACCAGATGTCTGGAACTCCTCTGTAGACTTCTCAAAGAACACTACTGCAGCTGTCCTGTAGATGTATTGCAGAACCTGACCCTCACCAAGTTAACTTTAAGGAGTGAACGAGTTGGGTTTTACGCCGCTTTTAGCAATATTCCAGCAATATCACGGCGAGGGACACCATAAATGGGCTTCACACATTGTGCCCATGTGGGGACTCGAACCCGGGTCATCAGGGTGATGAGTCAACGCTTTAACCATTAGGCTACCCCACCTCCCCAAGTTAACTTTACAATATGATGAAATGTTAAACCACCACATAACAATGTGTAACAGCATCAAATGACTGACAACTGGAACACATGTTTTTTTAAGTACTCTGTGGAAAGTGAGTGAGCGAGTTCAGTTTTATGTCCCTTTTAGCAATATCACAGCAAGGGACACTAGAAATGGGCTTCACACACTGTACCCATCTACTGAATCGAACCCAGGTCTTCATCCTGATGGGCGAATGTTTTAACCACTAGACTATGCCACAGCCCCACTCCGTGGAAAGACATTTATATCTCGATGTAAATAATGATATTTTAAAGCATGTTTCCAGAATACTAATACATCACCAGGTTGTACCCAACTATCCGTCACACTGTCAAAGCTCAATGAATTCAACACCTACCTGTTTGATGATTAGGCTTCCGTCTTGGAAGGTCTTGGAATGAAGAGCATCAGCAACATTCATCCTCTCATAGGACTGCAATTGAAATGCATTTTCTGACTAACTCATTAACAACTATCCCTGTTACAGATACAATGAAAGAAAATAGTTCAGTAAAATGAGCACTATACAGTGTATGACACTACCACTGTTCCACTAACACCAGATGTAGAACAATTTCTTAGGGACCAGTGGAATTATTGATGGCCTACGGTGTATTGCTATTTCGGGGCACTGTTGATGATTGCTCTAAATGGAATAGGAAACCAAGTGGAAACTGACAATCAGCTTCCTGGACATCTCTGGTACTTAATTTTCTTTCCGTAATAATCATCGCTGTAGTCTACTGATCGTAACCACAGAATGTTAATATCATTTACATTTACTGGTTAAGACTCAGATACTTCTATTTGCTGTTTGTCAGTGTCAAACACTGCATTTCCTAGCCTAGATACAGAACAAGTGTAATGAAACACAACTGAATTTGCAGACAGGTTAATATTCTTCTGTGACCTGTCATATGATTCCCTTTCATTTACAGCTTTAGTGCACTGATACATCTGCTGGCTGATATGATCTTAATATGAGAATATAGATGAAATAAAGACTGCTGTAAATGACATTAAGAAATAATTTGTCTTCAACAAAATGTCATACAACAAACTGCGCTTTAATAATGTGACAACTGTCTATGTCAAACTAAAATAGCACATTAACTTGCAGGGGTCGATTTCGCTATTTCCAGGCTGCACCAGTAAAAGTAAAATATTGCTCATGCTGGGAACTTATATTGTCAGGTTGCACCCTGTGCAAGTACTATTTTCCATCACAAGTGCATGGCAGCAGTTTTCTTGGTATAAATTGCCTGTATTAAATAAGTCTTCTATCGTGTGTAACAGGTGAATTAATTACTGGCAGTGAAAAACACAAATCTTCTTTCATGCTCACAAATAGGTTAAACAGATCACAGACTGTGTACACAATCTTGTGACATTCTATGGAAGGTCAAAGTCACTGTGTAATACATCACTTGAATTGCAAAACAAGTTGACTTGTTCAAGTGGGAAAGAAATTAAATCTATGAATAAAAATGTCAGAAACAAACATATAGTTATGTGAGCAATTCTGGGGATAGTGAAGCTGGCCATATCCCTCACCGTCTACTGAGAAGGAATCATCTAATGTCACTGACAGTGATGGAATTGTTTAAACATGGTGCAACCAATTTTTTGATGTTGCTACATGATTAAGTCACTTTCTTGCACCTGGCGCAGGTATTGAAATACATAAAGAAATCGTACACTGACTAGTCAAGACATGTTTATCTCAGTGGCTCAATACTACATATAACAGTCTCCCCGATGAAACATTCAACATGACAACAACACACGCTTAGAATGGACAAAGTGGAACTAGGGCACAGGCAAAAGGGACTTCAATCAAATGACTTTTCCAGTTGAAGTAATTGTTTCTGGAATCAATGTCAGTTCATAAGGCATATACACCTCCGTGAACAGACACTGTCTTAAAGGGTTTTTATGTAAGCGTTTGCAAAACATGTAGGAGCAACAACAGATCAACATATGCATCAACTCCAAAATACAACAAGGTGGGCAACACCAGTGGGTAAGTGAACTGGACGTAATGCTATTTTGAAGTGAATTCATATCATGGTTACCCACAGTTATTGTGCCAACAAATAAATTTTTGATTCATTACCAATTTTGGATTCAAAGAAATCATTTATGTCATAACTACTGGAAACAAACTGACAATACGCTCCACTTTCTGCCCTGTTAAAACACTGACTTTGTGTTGTGCAGTTTTATGATTCTTTGTGGCTCACAAGCCTTAAATTTCTATGAATCCCAAAAATTGCATTTGGATTCCCTCTGTACTAGTGACAAGTACAAAAGCCCCCACCTACCTCTAGTGATTTGAGCAGTGGTACAGTCTCTAAAAGAGACTCATACATTTTCCTCTTGTTGTATGCATTTTTCAACACTATCCTTCGGAACGTTACCCGATCCTGTAAAAAAAACCATTGGTGTATACATCATAATCAAATTGCTTCCTTGATACTTGTAACATAATACATGCATAAGCAAATATCACATAACTATACTGTAATTTGGGTAAATAATCAGAGCACTAACAACATACAAGACTTAACCTGAACGTACGCCTACTTTTATCATGTTCATACATAAAATATATACACATTATATCAAAGAGATATTGTATGCCCTTTCCTATATAAGGCACTCAAATAATGAATAGTATACTGATGACAATTAATGAAAACACATTCTTACTACAGAATCTTTTATTATATATATGTATCTTAAAATAAAATATTTATATATTATTATTTAAGAGATATTGTATGCCCTTTCCTATATAAGGCACTCAAATAATGAATAGTATACTGAGGACAATTAATGAAAACACATTCTTACTACAGAATCTTTTGTTATATAGATCTTAAAATAAAATATTTATATATTATTATTTCAGAGATATTGTATGCCTGTTCTTATCTCACGCAAAGAAATGATAAAAAGTTTATGAATGACATTTAATGGAAAAACATTCTTGCTACAAATGTTTATATGATATATATCTTACCATCGCCCACAGTGTTCCTTGTGTTGTGGCAATGATTGTGGCTGCCCGCGGCATGTTGTACATGAGTGCAAGCTCTCCAAAGCTTCCCTGATTATCGTAAGCGCCTACTTTTTTTGGTTTACCATCTATTTCTACATAAATATCATACAATCCACTGCAACAAAGAAAAAATAGATAATTAGTTCATTATTGCACAGCATATTAGGAATGTAATCATGGTTTGATGTAACAGTCCATGGTATCAGAATTACTGCCAGCCCAATGGCAATATATTGATATAATACAGGGACATATCTGGAATCTTTTATTTTGTGAAGAAATTGGGACTTTTGTAAGGTTTGGCATACATGTTACTTTTAAAGGCATCCAATGGAGAAATGTCTAAATAATTCACATATGCAAAGTATAAAACATTAAGTTATCATTAATGATAGATTGAACAGGGATATTTCTTGTGGAAGTCTTTACCAAAATTTGGTGCAGACATGAGGCTGAATAGCAGAAGAGACATGTACTGGCAAACAAGGATAAGTTGGACCGGCGCAGAGAACGCGTTTACGAGAAGTAGGCGGTCCACGGCAATGACCAAACCCATTTGGTTTGTGAAAGGTAGAGCAGATGTAGGCTAGTACACATGCACTGCATTGCATGACGATGAAATTGATTCCGCCCCTAGCTGCACCGCCCTGCGCCTGCTTCACCCATCGCACTACACTTGATCGCAGACAACCTGGGGCCCCTTCGGTAACAATGGCAAGAGCCACTGGGCGGCACTCATACATGCTAATACGGGTCAATTGTCAGGTCCGTGCTCAACTTATCCTTGTTTGCCAGTAAGCATCCATTCAGAATATGGCTATAGCATCATCAGAAGTGAGGCCCTACTAACATCTGAGGACATGCAGGCACCTGATGACTTGTGACCATACTAAAAATACATAAGGGAAAGCTAAAGACACAGGGTTTCACATTTTTCAAGACACTGACTGGTTTTGCATGACATCAACCAAATTGTTCCTTAAGATATTGTATTGAAATATTATCAGTAACAGAAGAATGTTGCATCAAAAGTGGATAAGATCACCAAAAGGTAGTCTTCATACTATTGAATTACTATTGAAATAGTATAGTTTGCATCTGAGCATGAAATGCCTCTCACAATAAAGTACTCAAAAGGCAAAGACCACTATGGTAGAGGGACTTAACAAGCATACTTGTTGCGGTCAGTTTAACAACTACCATTTTATAGAATAGTGTGGCAAAGTACATAATCACAGTGTTCACGAATGGTGTTTCAAAGTAACAGGACATTGGGTCCTGTAAGTTTCAGATGTCTGTCTGACCCATTGAAAATTCACAGGATCCACAGAATAAAATTAAACGCACATTTCAGATTTAACATTTCTTATAATTGGCATTGAAATTATCAACAAACATAAGATTTGTAAACAGCAAACAAGTGTGACATGTCACATATAATAACTTCAGTCAAAGTCATTGTGAAATATAGTCGGACACTGGGGCCGGCAGGTTGTAGACTTCTATCGGACCGTTGGCGAATCTGCCGGATTTGTCAGAGGGTCAGACGCTATTCGTGAACACTGCAATCATTATCATGATTATAAAAAGTTGATTATGTGTATTCCAATACAACCCTCCATTTGTTAGTAAGGAAGACAACATGGTGTCAGCCACTGCAGGAATCTGTACAACGCCATTCATTCCTTTTACACAGGCTCCATTTCCCAGCTTCAGAGCATATTTTGTTACAAAAACAGTTTGCCTAGTGTGCAGACTTCAATTATTTACAGAGGTAATAACCATGATAGCTTGCCACAATAAAACTAATGAATTGGCTTTATCAGATGTTTGCCTACAATTACATCATGCTATGACTCACACAGAAATTATCTGCCATTAAAAATCACTGATAACATGAGCCTCCAGTTGGTGAGTTAATTGTCTGCTGAATAACAGATTGCAATACAATGAATGTTCCAAAGGCCCAAAATCATGCTTGGCTGACTCCACTGGTGTGGAGTATATACACAGACAGAAGTACACTTAATATCTATACTGTTCATCTGGACAGTCTCAACTTTGACATATTGATAATGAGACACAGTGTCACAGCGCCCTACGGAATGAGTTTTACTGCTCAATGTCAATACAACTGCCATCCACACTGTTGGTATTACCTGTCTATTACATAAAAATTGTCACCATCATCATGCTGATCTATTACATGTTCTTCCGGTTCCACCTGCAACAACAAACGAAAACAGTGTCTGACAAAATCAACAGGGACAGCTCACGGCACTATCTCAAGTCTATCTAATGTTTAAGATCACCTGAGAGCTAGTACAATATCAAGCTTTTAGCAGTGATGAAGGGGTTTCCGTTGATGCCCTTAATATGTCACTACTTGGGAGAGCAGACAGCTCAGGTTTATGTCTACTAATGCTATAAACATGATACAGGTATGATGATAAGGTTATTCTATTTCTGCCACCATTATGATGATCATAAGACACTTCAAATCAAATCATGACAAAGTAATGCTATTGTTTTGTCTTGCAGTATATCCTTGTAATACCAAGCTGATCCTATTTCCTACACGAAGCATAAATCTAGCATTGCTTCTCAGAAGAGTCATTTTGATAAAGAAAACAAAGTGTGGTACTTTAACTTGTTCAATGTAGACATCACATAATGTAATTATAATAAAACATGTTATGTTTACTAAGCCACGGTTCTGTCATTTTCTAAGCTATATTAGGACAGTGCAGCCAGCAAATTGTAGGCTAGAGTAAAGCTGCATGAAATCTTTGTTCGATTTTGCATTGGGGGACTTGCTATCGTGGGGATTCAAAGCAGGTTAAAATCCCAGCCCTGGATGTTCATCAAATTAAAGACCATTATCTCGGAAAACCTGTCTGTCACTTCCTCAGCAGATAACGCTAGCAATCAAATCAATGTTCACCTCTGTCACAGTGGGAAGCAGACTCGACTTGCTCACCTTTTTTTCGAACATGGCATCTAATACTTCTTGCATTTGCTCCTGAAAAAAGAACAATAGATGTTAAAGTTATTGCTGAGATCAGTGAACGATTAGAGAAATAAAAAACACAGACATGAGAAGATTAGAATCAAACAATTTGCACAGTATTTTGTGTAAAATATAATCCAGATAAAAGGTAGAGATTTGTGAAACCATGCTAAAAATTGGATCAACATGGCATTTAGAATCACCTTCACCTGAATAACAATGTCAATCACAATGAATGGCCCATGATGCAGTGCAGTTACATATGTTCAAGTCTTGACTAGCATACAATGGGTCCTAGCTGGTATTAGTTTAAGCTTATACTAGCTTCAATCATGTCAATCCTCTTCACGTTTGTTCACAATGGTTAGGAAGATTTAAGACTGAAATTTGTGATATCTGAAAGGTGGTTTTAAGACTCATAAAGCACATTATAGTATTGTATTTCTGTATCCAAATACAGCCATAGTGAGAAGAAATAACATATACGTCTCCTCAACTTCTACAATGCCTATCAAATAAAACACATACACAGATCTACTAGTCACTTCCTCATACCCTATTGTATGGAATGGAGAACAATTACATCACCATATTCATATCAGACCTAGACGTCATCCTGGTCCACCATCCAAACACCAAAACACATTCACTGGAGCATACACAGACACACACGTTGATGTGGCTACATATCACAGACACAATTATTCCACATGTTCAACAATTTTCCAGTCATTAAACCACATAGATACAACATCACCTTGTAAAACATTCAAGCTTGATGAAACAGGGACAACATCTAGCTGTACTGTATGTACTGTTGAAACCAATTGCATGTACTGAAAGTTGTGACATTCAAACATCAACAGCACTTGACATGTTAAAGAGGAATTTCAGTAATCCAAGAACTCGTGGAGTAGATCTCAGTCAATGGTGTGGATCAACAGCTGTACTGGACATGATGGTAGCTTCTCTACATCTTAGTCTTCAAAACACCCACTATTCCAAACGCCCTGTACATTTTGTATGAGAAGTACCTGTGTGTTTGTTTAAGTTAGCTGTCACAGGCAAAGCGAGATGCTTGCTGCATATTATGTGCTTGTGTATCTCATTTTGAATTTTGAAAAACTGAACTCTTTGTACAGGCAGTATTAACTGTGTCTATTCAGAAGTCTCAAAAAAACACAGTTAAGCCATAAAGGGTTTAAAACTTCAAGTTACCTTGGTTACTAGTATTCACCAGTGTTGGATATTAAGAAGCATCCTGTCATACTGGAAATTTGCTCCCATAGATTTAAAATGGAAATTGATAACATGGATACAGACACACCAATATATTGAATTACAATATGTATCCAAAAATGTTACTCTGAATATATTGTTGCATCTTCCAAAAAGGTGCATACACTGAGAAGTAATACATCTAGGAAGTCACAGCCTCCACATAACACAGCCCTTGCTGCTGGTACCTGATGGTTTAACACTAGTTTAGTAACATCCTGTATGGTGTGACCATTGTTATGATATCTAGCAACTTAACATGCTAAAGGAGTTCATTAATACAGCTGCTGGCTTAGTCAGTATGCATACATTGATCTGTTTGTGTGTGTCTTAGCACTTGGTAACTAGATCTTGAGAAACTAGGCAGCACTTTGCCTGCAGCAATCTAACAAATGTTACACATATCCTTAAGGTGGGCATATACTTCTTAATTTGCCTGAATATTTTGATTATTATGTGTTATTTTTATTATATATTGTCCTGCTGATTGACTTCATGTCCATGATGTGTTAGCATGTTCCCAACAACAGTGAATCAGAAAAGTTGTAGTTTGAACTATACACCCTGGACACCTTCTTTGTAACCAGGTATTCAGAGACTTCCGTAGAAGAAATTTCTCTTCAGTGACCACAGCTCTGCAATGGTGCAGGCTTACAACACCTGCACATGGTAACACAGTGACCTAGCTGTGGTACAGATAAGCAAGTCCACCACACTGTGCATTCCATCCACATTAAACTGACCAACAATCAGTTGATTTAGAGTATCAAGAACGTGCAGTAGAAGAGAATGATGATAGAGAGAGTAGAATCACAAACGGTGCACACTGCACGCTGACAGTTTTCCAGTGTACAACCATCATATTACAAGTGTGAACTCTGTCCAACACATCACATGATATACAGATTATACATCTATTCACCTCTCGCCTTGGCTGATCCAAGAATGGGCATATAAAGAATTAAGAATATCAATTTGTGCATAGAAAAACATATAACAAAGCTTTGATTTTTATGTCAAATACATTGGCTGCTCCAAGAATGGGCATATAGAATTAAAAATATCAGTTTGTGTAAAGAAAAAACATATAACGAATCTGTGATTCTCATGTCAAATACATTATCAAAAAAAACATGTAATCATGGTAATCAGTTCAGTATAACACAACCTCTAATAATCCCTGGGTCATATACAAGTTGGTTCTGAAACTTAAAATTAAGCTAAATTGATATAAAATCATTGATAATACAAGGACAGCATTTATGATTATCATTAGATTTTTAACCAATTTGTTTTTAAAAACAAAACACAAAACTTCTTAAAACCTGAAAGATATATTGATTAAGGCTGTAACGATTCACTCGCATATTCGGTGAATCGAACCGTAACCCTTCATGAATTCAATTCATTATTCGTGGTCACCAGAACCGAATATTAACAAATATTTACGATTGTTTTAAGATAGCAAGTTTTACTTGAACCCTTATGTCCTTTTCCAAAGTGAGATATGCAAGAATGGAACATGTACTAGCATTGCAGTAGTGCAAGTCATGTTAGTTTGCCAAGACTGCACATGGTACTGTCATCTATAACTATTACATACCAAATTTGAGGGTCATGAGATCACTGGTTATTGCTGTGACAAATTAACACTGTCAACATGGCGTTCCATATTGTACATCAATCATTTAACTACAATGTTGTATTTTTGAATAATTATTCGTATTCGTTACCCAATATTCATGATACGTATCATATTCGCCACATAGTGTATTTGTTGCAGCCCTAATATTGATCATGATAATTTATACTAAAACTTTCAAATAATCCAAAAAGACGTGTGGGCTAGTAGTAGATGTGAAAAGATATTCAACAATATTGACAAAGCTGGTCCACTCCATTGAGACCAATGTAGGTTCTTGATAGCTTTATGGAACCAGCTGTTGAGATGTTCTGAAGCTGTTGTTATTAAACAAAACAATATTTAAAATAAAACAGTATGGACAGCTGAGAACCTGAATCTATTGTTGAATCAATACTGGCTAATACCTTCAGTTTAGCAATATCAGCAAGAAACTCATTCCTTCTACTCACTGGTCAAACACGTCGATACTATACAGCCATCTGAATATCAGATTCATAAAACCACATCATATCTATGTAGTCAGTGCTGTTCCAGGATTTGATTAACAAAGGCCTTACTGGCCCTGTATACTTGTTTTACTGAATAAATTACCTGCTTACCTATGATCTAACAATATAAGTTATCACATCGTGTCTCGGGAAATACAGGGTTTTATCAGTCCCGAATAAGGTAGTATTCCCCGAGCCGGAGAATACAACCTTACTCGGGACTGATAAAACCCCGTATTTCCCAAGACACGATGTGATAACGCATTTATCTAGCCGAGTGTTTTTACTAAATCAAAAGAAAACAATACGCATCGAATCGACTTGTTTTTATTTATGTGAGATGCCATGTTGACAACAGCTGATCGATTGACCTCAATGCAGCGCACGTTACTAAAGACTTGGCGATGCACGCTTTTCTCACTTCGCTTGGTCACCGAGGCGTGGCGGGATAATATGACTTTTGTACTCCCTGCTCGCGGATCATGACGGGTGTACATGGTATTTTATCAGAGTCACGTGAACCAATCAAAACTCAACATTCTTACATGAGGCTAGATAATCTGATGTAACAGTCTGTGCAGATTTTAAATTGTTTCCTTCACATATTATTCACAACGTCTTGATTGTGAAAACCATAAATTGCGTCTGTAACACTGCCCCACAATATTTCTGTTTTGGATCATCGGACAGAATATTATTGAAGTTCTCTTTGGTTTGACAGTTTGTATTTTCTTCCCCCAACCCCATATTGTGCCGAGAGCAAGTGAAAATGTTTTATCCATTCAACCGTAATGTACCAAACAACCAATACATACCAATTAACCATCATAACCAACAAACTTTCTTTCAAATTAACGTAGAGAACTGTAAGGCGACTCCATACAGCAATGAACTTGCCACACGAGTCTTTCTATAAAAAAACAAGGAAATACACTTGCACATACTCTGCAGTAATTAAAATAATTAGGGCTCTTTGTCATAAGCCATATGTTAAGGTTAGTTTCAATTACCATCGAAACGATCAAGAGCACCCTCTTTCAAACACTTCTGTGATAGAAGGAAGCATTTTAATGAGAATAGTATATTATCTAAAAACAACATTTATCTTTTTTCTAGCCTGTTTCATAAGAAACAAATCAAAACAACAGGAAATCCTTTGATTCAGTATAAATGAATGTTTAAATGTTATTAGATTGGACAATACAACCATCTTATTCAATTTTATTGAAGAAGTGAAACATAAACAGTAGACTTCAAAATTTTGAAATCATGCATATCTTCTAAATACAGTGACCGAATGCTGCAAGAGTGTCTGTAGCTAGCATACAGTGAACCGAGGATAATTGCTTCTCATCCCAGTGAAGGAAATCATATTTCATACCACGCTCACGCATAATATGAATTGTGCTGAAGGACTATCGGTAAAGGTGTGATGACAATTTCCTGTCTTGCTCTCGATTTTTCAATTATCTGATAATAGCAGCGTGGGAATGAGACACTGTCTCTGTGTAATTTCTATAATCATTCATTGGTAAACAAATATATATCTTTAATGCTAAACTTATTTAACATGCACACAATGTGGAAATGAGATACTGGTCATTTGCCTGGTCTAATCGCTTTGTAACTAAAGGTATGTAAATTATAACTGACTGACTGAGTTTGGTTTTACGCAGCTTTTAGCAATATTCCAGCAATATCACGGCGGGGGACACCAGAAATGGGCTTCACTCATTGTACCCATGTAGGGATTCGAACCCGGGTCTTCGGCGTGAAGAGCCAACACTTTAACCACTAGGCTACCCCACCGCCCTGTAAATTATAAACACTGGATGCTAGAAGTGTTTCAGGAAGAGGTTTGCAGGTAACCTCCACTTTGAAATCCACAATAGATTTTAGCATGGATAGTAAGACTAAGAAGTCATGCAATTTTGTGGTTCTGAATTAGGATTCTCATCATAACAGCTTTTTAGTGTTTAAACTTACAGGGTAGAAGGAGCATTTGATGATTTATCATTTTTATTAAGAATCGATCATGAATGAAATGTTTGTAGCAAAATAATTAATCACTAATTCAAGAGTCCTGCCTTGGTTAGAAACTGAAATCAAACTAACTGGATCGACTCTTCCCTTATACATGTCACACTTTTCTGAAAAATCTAGGAAAAGATATTTTGGTAACTTCAGTGAACTTAGCTTAACAAATACATACAATATCAGGCCATTTGTCCCAAATCTATTAAAAGTCAATCAAAAACCAAAATGTGCCTCCAATTTGAATCTGAATTAAAAGTGTTTTGCAAAGGTTACTATTATCAGGAACATGGTTAAAATAAGGTTTATCGCATTGGACAAATTGTACTTGTCTCAGCATCTCTCAAACATTCTGATGCTCCATATGGTATGGGAAGTGATTCTCCAGAGATGCCCTACATCCAGCTGGTAATTCAATTTGTGCCTATATGTGGTTATGACAGATCCATCTGAAAAGCTCTGGCAACTGATTACCCAAGAGGTCTATGTGCATTCATGAACTCAAGCCACACTTTAGTCTAACCTCACACCACTTTCCATCTCACTGAAAAGACCAAGTTTCATTGTCAAATAAACTCAAACTGCGCTCAATATCATATGGTGGCTATCTGATACTCCACCAAATGTCGCAATATTGACAGAGCAGATTTGTGCACGTACAACAGTATTACAGCCTACAGTCTGGTAATGATTTTCTCACCAATGGCTTTTTTAATACCTTCCAAAGCTCTTGATAATGAATGTGAAAGTGCAATACGCCACATTACCAAGACGGAGTGTTTTTTCAGATAGATGTGAAATTGCTTGGATGCAAAAAAATGAGGCATTTCTGCTGCTTGACAGAATTTGAATTCAGATGTCATGATAAAACAACCGCAGTCAGCTTGCAGACTACTCAGGACAATGTTTTGATGAACGGAAACACGAACAATCAGTTTGAATATCAGTCACAAAGATGAAGCTGAACAAACCTTTTCTTGCCATAACTGAAACAACTGTTCTAATCGACAAGACAAGGAAATACAAAACACAAATAACAAATGTTGCATTATACATACATACAACATTCATAATTGTGTTTTCTTATTTCCATGTTTTTCATATTTTTCTAATTATTTTCTCATCACACTGTCATGAAGGCAAAGGAAAAAAATGTACCAGTAAAATGTTTCTCACCTTTGGTTTAACCTCAAATAATACAATATCACTTTTCTCTATTTTGCTTCTTTCTTTTAAACGGAACAATTTGCATGACATACTGTCAATATTCATATTCTGGATAAAAATGATTTTTTTTTCCCCCCCCAGTATTACAATGCCCTTTCTCAGTGATTGATAAAGGTCCAGTAGTGATGTCTCAAATGCACTCAAAAAGCACAAAAGGCCTTATATCCTCTCAACACAACCTGTATAGACAATCGAGATCATGCATCATATGCAGTTTATATGCTGTTTGAAAGTTTTAGGAAAAACTTGTTACAGTTACCTGCTCCGGCAAAACTCATAAACTTATTATGAGTCCCTTTGCATGATGTGAGGTTGCAGAAGGGGAGGATGAAAGAGAGAGGCAATGAGAATTAAAGGTCACATGCAACCAAAAAATCAAACATAATTAAAACACAATTATCACTTCTTCATGACATATAATATGCATTGCTGATTATGAAAAAACAAATAAACAAAATTATAAGCGTATAATCGCAAATCAAAAGTGCAATATTTTGTACTTGGGTTTACCTCCCTCGAAACGAAGCAGCCGGGATACCGAACCCAGTCAGAGCGGGTGGGTGTGCAGTCAAGTGTAACGGCTGGTTCATTAGCAGATGCAGCCTTCACGGCTCATTGTGTGTGTGTATATATAGAGATGTTGGGTTTTGTAAATACATGGTCATTTTTTGTGTATAACATTTTGCAATCAACAGACATCATAACATGTCATGTGTTCAAGTATCACACCTGCCTGTCTGTGTAATTACATAATGTGACAGAGACCGAACTCGGGCCATAAATCAATGCATTTTGTTTATGGTGTATAGCCTGATTGGTGTTAAGTTCAAATTGCATGTGGTCAGTGATCGCAGTTGTGTATTGAATATTGTCATTAGCAGACAGGCAGGCAGACACACAGGTGTCAATAAAACAAGACATTGAGTTTTGTCTGTGACAGCGACTTATCTATATCACAGTTAGAAATTGTGTCAACGCTAAATAATGACATTGCTTTTAAGTATCGAACTGAGAAAGTGACTCGGTAAGAAGAACGTGTGGTGAAATAGACAAATGAAATTATATAAACAGTTTTTTTTTACTGTCATAACATATAAAAAGCTCGCGCCTGTGAGATATCAACAAAACATTAGGAAAATAGCTCACACCAAAGCCTTCACCGAGTAATTCACCAGACAGCCCGCTTCCAAGTTGCGCGAACCTATTTCACTGCGCATGTGCTATGAGCGCAGCCCAGCTGTCGAAACCTGTATTCCCCAGAAAAGTCTGGGGAAAATTAGTGAAAGGTTTGAACTCCGATTTCGCGCGTTTTTTTTCATCGCGTTATTTTTCAACTTTATAAGTTGAATTTGCATTTTTGACGCTTTGTTTCGGTAAGTCCATACCGAAAAGGTATCAGAATCTGCAAAGTTGTGTTTTACGTTGCATGTGACCTTTAAGCAATTTTGGGCCCCTTCATAAAGAACAATCTCTGCTCACTCAGATTATTACTAAAAGCTGTTATAGTAAATGGAAATCTGTTCATTGTGAATGATTGCTGAGTTTTGCCACATCAGCAAAGTTTGCTGCTATTGTTGGTGAGATTCCTGGTAAAACAGCCTCTCAATACCAGTCTGTACCTCCAATCCCACCAGGCCCCAGCTGGCTAAAAGCTCACATGTAAATGGGAAACATGTGTTTAAAATAGTGAGATTGGAGAACATCACAGGAAGTAAGGTGCCAAAATGTAGGAACACCACAAAGGAAGTTTAGTATAGGGTTAATCTATCAATACGTCAATAATTTACTAGCTGAGATAATAAAGAAAGGTACAGTGCCCAAAGTGAGATTACAGCACCTGAGACATGAATGTAATAAAACGTATTAACCAGAAATACTTCAGGCTCCATGACGCCTAGTTGATTAAGCAACCAAATGATCAATACTATAAGTCAACAAAAACTAGGTTCTCAAGACTCTGCCATTTACACTAGCTATTTATATCTGTATACTTTTGTAAGAGTGAGATCATCTCAGTTTTAAAATAGCAAAAATAAAAATGTCAAAGATTTGTGTTCTACCATGGTGTAGGCAAACGGTATGTCACCTTGAATTATCAGATTTGATAAGAATATTTTTCAAACATACATGAAAAGAGGTGTCTTTTGAATCATGCTAATGGGATCATGGCCTAACAATCCAAACCTGCTATTGCCAAGGACATGATCATACATGTCGAAGGCAAAACCAGAAACAACTTCTGACACAACATGACATGAAAAGTATAGCAGTAATATAAAAAACACTATACCTCTAACATAGAGAATGTGCTAGCTGTTAAAACGGTATTCAATAATATCTTAACACACACACCTCAGACTTCATAAGTTAAATAAATAATATTCCTTGGTTTTACTTACTTGTTCTAATGATCTGAATAAAAGTATATGCTCTACTGCCTTGCTCAACCTCTGTCTCTGTTCATCTGATTTAGGATAAACAATCTGAAATAAGAAAGGAAAAGATGGTCAATGAAGAATAGTCATATTTTGATTTGTTTACCCCTATTCAGATGTCCATGAAGAAAAGGTCTGGTCAACTTGAATTCAGTCAAAGTCAGTAATGAACATGATGAATAAATATCAGTGTTTGAAATTAAACATGCAAGTCAACATGGTCAATGGGTCAACTTCTCTCATAATTAAGTTCAAGATTTTAGGCTAACCCAAGATGTGGGCCCCTGAATTTCTAACACGGGACATGTTCATGACAAGAAAAAGCATCAAAGTACTCGATGATTGTTTGCTAAATCTGTTATTCATTCTTGTTTCACTTGTTTGCTAAATCTGTTATTGTTTTAATTGTTTCCTAAATCTGTTATTGTTTTAATTGTTTCCTAAATCTGTTATTGTTTTAATTGTTTCCTAAATCTGTTATTGTTTTAATTGTTTCCTAAATCTGTTATTGTTTTAATTGTTTCCTAAATCTGTTATTGTTTTAATTGTTTGCTAAATCTGTTATTGTTTCACTTGTTTACTAAATCCAGAGCTACAGATAACGTTTTGGGTCATTGAGTTATGTACTCGCTTGTGGTCATGTCAATTGGGTATCCTAATTTTCCTTTGAATAACCAAATAAATTGTACCAACCTCACTCAAACTCAATTGGGTATTTTGTCATTTTCCATTAATTGTTAAAATATAATAAAGTTTAAATGTTAGTGTTTGTTATATATATTTGATCTGTAATATGAGAAACGATAAGAGAGACTGCAAGTTGCCAAGTTCATGTCCTGAAATAGAACCTCTCAATACCTCAGTTATTGTATCTATCCACCGGTACGCAAGCTAAGATTTGACACTTTTGTGTGTACGCATGTAACATCACATCTATTGAGTATTTACAAAATTTCAAGCGTACTTGTACGCAATAGACTTAATAGGAATTGAGTTTTCGCATAAATATTTGCGTAATTTACACAGATACGCAGCTTATCTGTACCTCTGTAAATCTGTTATTCTTTTAATTGTTTACTAAATCCGTTATTGTTTTAATAAACAGGGATAAAATGCAATAGCTTCAGCGAGCGTCTATCATTTCCTCTAGGTCAGTGTCCAGATCTAGTATTGATGCTGAATCAAATATTTGTCTATACATTTCTCTGAGGTCCCATTCTACAAATGATTATAGCACTACCACCATGATCACAGTCGTGATGTATGTTAAAGTATGGAAATTACAATTCACCTAAGCGTGTGGAACGGACCCTTGGTGGGGAATTAGTCAGTCATGAAATCACCAGTACTGAAGCTAATTTGTGAAGTTTGTCAAGGAGACAAAGCCTCATTACATAGATTATGAGTATTAGCAGGTTTCACCTACTCTTTTCAAATTTGTGACCATGTTTTATATGTAATATAGAATTAAGTGTAATAATTTTGTAAGGATTTTCTATATGATTATGTTAATCTATATCCATAATCATCATATTCTAATCCTATACAAAACATGTCATGTCATGATGTGTACTTCTGGCTAGGAGCATGTTATGGCAGCAATAATTCATGGACACAGTCGGCAAATTATGCACTCTGTATACAACAGCGTTCACTCATGGCTATCAAGTAAATGGAGTCTTTTGATATTCTACTTTACTTCAGGAAGCACAACAGTTCAAGTTGTGGAGCTTCCAGTGGGACGTCATTCGTTACCACAATAAACAGAAATCTATATTGAACAAACAGGTTGATTGATAGACAGCTTGGTTAATCGTTGTAACCCTAGTTTGGTCACATTCACGGCAGATAGGACTTTCTGCAAGCAATGACTATCTACCTGACCTCTGCGTGACACAATTAAAGTGGTCACTAGGCACCTGTCAATACACACTCTCTTATCAGTCTTTGCAGTAATAAGCACTTCAGAACTAGTAGCAATAAGCCTCTGGATGGTAGAGGATATTGATGGAAATATGTCATTTGTCATTTGGTGATCAGTACAGCTTTGTCTGATACACATTTGCAATGACCCAAATTTAGGGTACTTTAGGGCCTAGACATTTTCTACTCCACTTATAATCTGGCTACAACCTAAATATTTTATTTCAACACATTAAGATTATGAGAAGGATATCTTTACATACATGCCAAATTCTGGATCACTATAATCTGCTAATGTTACTGACTTAACTTATGCTACCATTACTACAATATAGTACTATAAGTATCCAGCCCTATGAGATCATAATTGCTATTTTTAGTAGGAGAATTCACATAATTCACTCAACATTTATTTGATAGAAATAGGAAACAAATTAATATTTATACAATGTAATATTGATTACAAGTTCCCAAGAACCTTTCTCCAAACAGGATGCCATCTGAATATACAGGCAAATTACACAAAATGCAATGAGTGAGCTATTAAAAGGTGATCTCTTTTTGAAAACATTTGTACTTCATGTTTCAACTTTATAATATAATTATATTATTTCCTGAAATATTTTACTTTAAAGATAACAGCATATTTTTAAAATATATTTGTAATAATATTGATTAAATTTAAGGCTTTTACAATTCACTTGTGTATTTGGTGAATCAAACCATATCCCTTCGTGAATTCAATTCGTTATTCGCGATCACAACATTTTGTACATGAAGGAGTATTTTTAGGTAAATTTGAATGTTAATCACCAAAACAAGATAAGCCAAATGGAATGTATCCACGCCAGACCGGATGTCAACATTGTATTTTATTTGACAGTAATGTGGTCAGTGGTTATTGTCATGATAAATTAATGCTGTTAGCACGGTGAAAACAAGCAAAAAAATATAATCTGTTATTGTTTCACTGAATATAGAGAATAACACATCAAATGCGGACTTGTAATTGTATACGTTAGCCAATATTTGTCTTCGTTACTCTCTATTCGTTATACGTATCATTTTCGCATCATAGTGGACCCCTAGTAAAATGTAATGTTAGCCTCCTCTGTCAATGTAACAGCTGGAGACATCAAAACCCAATGATTAAGCATGATAAAAGTACTGGAAATTAGCAGCACCCACAAGTCCTGGAGTCAGCTTCTGCTAAACCAGAACGTGAAATAAGTCAGACCAGGAACACTTGCTTTTCATTTCACTAATATCTTTTTGAGAAAAATGCACTGGTTTGTTTACCTAAGTGAAAGCTACAAACACTGTAACTTTACTAACAACATATATGGGCACCAAATGGGCCAAGATGATCAAAGACGACGAGGTAATTTTATCAATTAATAGTGGTGGCAATGGCCTGAATATTCATATCGATAACTAGAGCTCTCAAATTACTAATCGATCAAGGTGCTTTCCTCATATACATATCTATCGCATAATTCATCTGAAGTGACAAATGAGGTGGACAACAGGCACCTGCATGAGCCTGGAGTAAACAAATGGTAAGAGATGGAATCCAAGACCACACTCACCACTTCATGAACATTTAACATTTAATAAAACATTCACTATTTTTAATGTGAATTATTTGAACAAAATATAGTAACAGTTATTGATTGTTGACATTGATTGTCATCCAAAATATCTTTTGGATATTTATTTAATTCGGTACAGATATAGAAAAATATCAAATAAATATTTGACAAAATACCACGTATTATTTTGGGTATTTGAACCACCTAAACCATACCAGCTGATTAAAATTCTCCTAAGCAATACTAGCTAATCATAAGTCACTAGTCTGAGGCTCTGAGCCCTGTTGCCTAAAGCTTTTATACCATCAAGGTGATCATGACACTCATACTTTAACATGAGCTTACAGCAATCATAAAGCTAATCTGAAGCTGGAGACTTCTGAGCGTGGAACGTGTTAAGCTTATGAAATTGGACAACAGATATGTAGTGAATGTATGAACAAGGATGTTGAATGATAAGTTGAGGCAAATAGAGTAAACAATGTTTGGTACAGAGTTAGTGTGAAAAAAACAATGTTTACAAGAGAAATACTTTATGTATTAATTCATAGGAAGTTGTACATCATACAACAAACCACTCAAATTTCTATACATGTTGACAATATATATTGCCTTTCACATAACTTGTGAATGTTTCTGGTCAAATACATAATGTACATGGTAAAGGGAAAGACTGACAACCAATAGTTCATTTACTATTTCAGACTGTTTGACATCCAAATTTCTGTCAAACCCTGAATGTGAGGATTTCTGTTCAAAATATCACTGATGTCTTGATTCTCTTGAATAGCATTCCATCCAACGTCTCCTGTCTGTGTAATTTCTCTGATACTGACTACTGGAAATCTCAGCCCTTAATTATATTATCATATTTCACTTAAAGCAATCAATATTGAAGCTGTCGACTTTAGAAATAATTATCTATCTCGTCAACATTTATTATTATGCCATTTTATGGATTTCCCTCAAATTTGTACATCAGGAATTTGCACCAACTGTCTGGTCCTGAATGACAGGACATGTTGAAATTGATGACTGTAGTCCTGACAGAAGGATGAATATTTCCTGATTACAGCAACTGGGGAGAAAGTATTCGAGCAAGGATCGTGCTGACGAGGATGGAGCTGCTATTCCTAGGATCAATAATCAAAGTGGTAGGTAGTGGTAGAGTCTGGCTGAGACAGACCTATTTTCAGCTGGACTATCAACTTCTCATCAAATCTTACTTTTTCTTCTGAGTTGTCGTCATCTGCTTCTGGATCATAACCTTCTGCTGACACTGCAAAAAGAAAAGAATTCAAATCAAAAACTATGATCATCATAACTCAGTGTAGCCCTTATGAGTGATTAAGTGAGTTTGGCTTCACATTGCTTTAAACAGAACTTGAGTTCGGGAATACACATGGCCTGCTGCCACTCTTCTGTTAGATCAACCTTCAGAGAGACCAGATGTTTTCTTTCAAAATCTAGTGATTTAACATTGCCACTAGTTCAGAATAAGCTCTTGATTAGTTCATTTTGACCAGTGGTGTCCAAGCCTGTAGTTATATAATTAGTCTTATCACTTAATCAAAAGTAACTCAAGTCTTTAATAATTTTCCTTTTAGTAAAATATACAGACAAGGGTTTGAGGACTATATATCATGATCATAAGAGCAAATCAGTGATTTTTTATACCCAAGATCAGCTTATTCTACCACATCTCTGAATAGAAATCTGAGCTATGAATGATAGACCACTCGCCAAAGCATGCACCAATGAACACCAATGATTGTGAATAGAGTGAGAGACACTGCAAAATGTCACTGACATTTAGATCCAGATAGTGACTGCTCAAATACTTTGTTTTAATGTAATGGCCATATTTGATTACTTATTGATGATTTCATAATGGCTTTTATGCAGATTTTATCATCAGTTCGTCAAAGTTCCATTCCCATCACTTTCCAGTACTAATGGAACTAAAAGGGCAGATTATGCGCGGATATGCAGACTCAAATGCCACCTGTTATATGAGATGGTCAGACTAGAAAAACCAGATTCAGCTGCTCAGGGACAACCTTGAAATTCAGAAGTCCCAATATATTTTAATACATTACTCATAACTGAAAGTACTGAATGTAGTTTTTGAAAAGTGTAGACTTTGAATTTGGCAGCAGTGCATTACTGTCTTGTTTCACTATGTTTTGGAGTGACCGATGAGAGTACCATGCTGCTAATGGTGCACATTACCATGATTACTGTAACCAGTCAACTCCGGTCACACTTGCTGATTGAAAAGTCACGGAGGTATAAGAACTGATTCATTATGTCCAAACAAAACTTGACATGGGTAAAATTACAGTTAATTAATTTTTTGATAAAAATATCAACTGGATCAATAATCAGGACAAGCAGTTTTGTCTCAGATGGGAGAAGTTTACTGTTAAACTGCCTGGATAAATTCACAACTCTGATATTTCCACACTCTTTTCATGATGCCAAAGTCAACCTTGCTTCCTAAGCCAGAGTTAGTCACACGTGTGCAACATGTGTTTGTTTGGCCTCTCTCATGTGTAACCCACTCATTGCCCACTATGGTAACAGAATAGAAAAGCTAAAGGGTCTAGCTTCTTTCTTCCTAGTCTAGTTATTTGAGAGAAAAAACAAAGTCGAAGAATGGAGATGAGTGGTGGGTAGATATGTAACCTAAGGTGTCTACCAATGTAATAAAGAAAGAATCTATTAGCATCTTTACAAAACTTAATATACATTAGTAGGAGGATCAACCAAATAAATTGCTATAATTAATGTCACCATATGCTATATGTTGGCCCACCCAAATCATTTTCATTGATTGGAGAAGAACAAAGTACTGAAACTGGACTCCATATAACATCTTTCTCATCAAATGCAATCATCACTTACATAAACTCTACATCAATGAACTAAACTAAACTAAACATGATTAGATGCAAATAAAAAAACACCCAAAACAGTATTCACCTTAAGCAGAATGTATTTGATAACATAAATAGAATTGATCCATGGTTTATCTTGTTTATACTAGTAGGTATACTATACAAAAAAAAGAAAGAAAAAGGTTTTGAGAAAGATTTTAATACTACCTTGTGAATAGATGTCAATTACTGAATAAATGCTAAATAATTAATTGGAGCACTGGTTTTGGGATCCAAAAACTGTCTAATAGAGTCTATGTAAAAACAGCCAAACTTTCTGGGTGAACCCTTAGTGCAGCGCTGGTTACTGAGGTCACGTAGTGTGCCTCTCTGAAACTACTAACCTGATTTCCTCCTCTGGAACCGGGACATGGGAGGCGGTTCTGAAAAAACGATTAAGACATTGTTACAAGGATCAAGCACAGATACAGTTACCATCAGAAGAACATATCTAATCACACTCCCTACTCCCTATGGTCATGACTGTGTGTTCAGTTCAGTGTGTGAACCAAATGTAGAATTCTGATTGTTCACTATTATTTTCAACACATTTTAAGGTTGTGACTCTATAATTTGCAGCATTCTTTCCATGTTCAAGCCTAATTTTCAACTATTTTAATGTTTATGGACTGACAGTTTAAGCAGACACAGATACCAGACAAGTAGAGATTGTAGCTTGGTTATTATTCAGAATGTAAAAATCTATTCAGATTGATGCCAACGCCATGAACACTGATGGGTTATGAGTTGTACTTCACATGGAACTAATGGATCAGACATCTGAAATATTGGGACATGGTCCTATCAGGTACTGAATATTGTAATGAACATGAACGTGATGGAATGGAAGGTTAAATATACTTGGCAGGTGCAACTCAAAATATTTACTAGTGGTCCAGTAGGAAACAGAACAACAACATGTCACCTCACCTCAGATTTTTTGCTTTTATACATGACTCGGAGGTTAAAAATCAACACACTGTATTCACCATAATAAATGCCTTGAGTGCTTATAAATGGACAAATTAGAGGTGCATATTAATCAGGCATGGCAACTCTGAAGCATATTATTACAGATTATTACGTCCTGATTAATATGCACCTCTAACATGTCTAATTTGTGACCAAAGTCAAGGAGCCCTTGTCATGACTAATGAATTATGGCGTCCATAGATTATTGTATAGTCAAAAATATATATCTATATTATACAGTGAATGAATGTAGTGTAACAGCTCCAGATATGCAAAATAAGCACCATAAAATGCATATTGAGCTGTTTGCAAGCAAACATGCATGATAAAACAGAAACAACAGTATGACGACAGTATCTACGACAGCCCTTAGTTTCAGCTTAGGTGTATGTCATTTCAGATCTGTATGTACTGATTGAAAACAGGCATCACACACATTTAATCTCTACAGTTATGAATACTGCAACAAATCGCTGTATCTTGCTTAGTGCAACTTAGACAAGTATTCTTGTCGGGAACATGTGCAACGTGTGACACCATGGAGTAGCGTGTGAACAGATGCACATTAGAATTAGGAGCAGTGTTCAAAGCAGAAAAACATGTATGATTTAACTTTATCCTAAAAGACTGGACCAAGGGGAGTTAAATTTGGGATACTGCTTACACCCCAGAATATAGCCATGACATAAGTAAATGACAGCAAATGAGGAGGTACTCTGTGAATTATGAACTGCAACAAATGGTAGACACGGAAGCATGATTCTGGTGTTAAGATTTCATGTTAATAACTGTTATGTGCATATAAATATATCCATCAAAATAAGCATGAAAGTCAAGTGGTCTTAGCCATAGTCCTACTGCTGAAAGTTGCAGATCGATTGTCCCTTATGTTCAACTACTACAGAAGCAGATCTCATGGGCCTAAGTACCCTGCTTTAATTTAAAAACCTGACATAACGAAAGTAAATTATTTATTTCCTCCTAATGGCAGTGGCATACTTTTGAAAATTATAATCAATATCAGTTTATTATAACCATTATCTAAAAAAATTATTATATATAAAAAAAATGTTTAATGAGAAGCCAACTGCATAATTTGGCACAACCATATTCATAATCTGATGTTTCAACACATGAACGTGATACTACAATCACATGTAAAGAAAAGGTCTACCATTAAGAATACAATATTATATATTTAAACAGTATTTATACAATGGAAGTGTAGACTGACTGACTGACTGACTGAGTTTGGTTTTACGCCGCTTTTAGCAATATGCCAGCAACATCACGGCGGGGGACACCAGAAATGGGCTTCCCACATTGTACCCATGTAGGGATTCGAACCCGGGTCTTCGGCGTGACGAGCCAACGCTTTAACCACTAGGCTACCCCACCGCCGTGTAGAATTTCAAATGTGTTTGATTTCTGCCTACATTAACAAAATGGGGATATTGAACACTAAGTTTATTGATGATGATGACACAGTAGTAGTAATGGTCACAGAATTTTGATATTCATTGCAATAAATTCAGAATACATTTGATCAAACCAACGGATCAGTTTGGCCACAGTAGCTTCATTTACTACAATGCAAGCATATCACTAATCAATACCCAATAATATGCAGACCCTCATTTTTATGGAGAAGCATGTTCAATGTGAATGACCCCCCTAAAGTTTATGTACAAAATAAGTGTCCCTCCTGCATGTCATGTACAAAATCAATGACCCCCCCTCCCTTCCCATAATTTCTAAGCATACCGTAATTTTAAACTATTTTTATGTACAAAATTGCTGATCCCCTAGTACATGTGTACAAAATTGCTGAGCCCCCCCCACCCACCCCGCCAAAATTATGAACGGTCCCTTTCTTATTAAACTTTTGATTTCCAGCTATCAATATGAAAGTACACTTTGCATGAATAAAGAACCTTGGATTATAGATCTCAATAATGCAATTGAAAAATTACAAGTTACATCATGAACTATTATCCAGACTAGCTTGAAATGAATTTTACTTGAAAAAGGTTTTACCAAGGAATTAAACACAGAGGCAAAACCAGTAAATTGACAAATCAACATATCTTCTAGCCCATACAGGGCCCCTTCAGTTCGTAAACATGGTACTGAACACGAACTGTCACTGCGCATACGATCACATGGAAACGACAAGGGCTCAGCGCTATTTTTATTCACTGGGCTACAAAAATGCATAACATGCGATGTAGTTTGTCCTAATAACTTAAAATAAAATATGAACATCGACTCCATGTCTTAATCAACCTTAAAAGAGCCCCATGTGTAAAATGACCTACCCATGGGTTCATCGTCTTCGTCCTCTTCATCGGTTTGCATGTGCTCATCAGACTGGTTTGGCACTGGTGACTGAACAAACCGAACTCCCCGCTTCTCATTTATTTTGTCTACATTTTTGCAGTCATTCAATTTATTGAAGTAATCTGCGGCAAACTGCACAAGGTCTGCGGGGGATGGCTTTTCTCGCAGAACGGCCACAGTAAATTCCTGCAGTAAGTCTGTCAATCCAACGGGAATTTCGAAATTCATCATGAAGTCAGCACAATATATTCCAGCAGTATATAATCCGGAAAGAATGAAAAATCACAATATTCACCTATTCCACATTATCGGGACAGATGTTAGATGATAACAGTAATTTCCATGCCATACTCTAAGCATAATCACACCAAGGTTACGCTAACTTTTTGACGTCAATAAACCACAACATATTCCTACGCCGTTAAGGTGGTTGCATATGGACTTTTCGCACCTTCAGTAATAAATAAGCATAACGTGCATCCGCCCAAAGACGTTCGTTGATCTAGAAAACACTTTCCATCCAAGCAATATCACAGCACAGCAATTTTCACCATGGTGTTATTTCTTTTCGCGGAGGCCACATTTGGTAGTGTGCGCAAACAGGAAGTCATCCATACCACAAAGCAAGTCGAAATGTATTAGGCGCAGTAGCGCTTTGCATCACTGGTGCGAATGGTCTTTTCTGTATATTTCCATGTAAATCGCGGATTCTAGATGTGAACTGAGTTATTCCGTATATATTAGGCGTAGGAGATATTCCAATCTTACGGAAGCGGGCCCGACCGGGAGCCTATTGCCTGCCGACAGCGATGTGTCGTCTGCTCGAGTTGTTGCGAGGCGACTGCTTAAGGAGGGCAAACACCCCTTGTGGAGAGAAGTTAGCGCGGAGGATATTAACTTAGGCAATCGGCTAAAGGCTTTGGATTAATATTCGTTGGATTTTTTGGATATGATGTAATTGTGTGTAATGCTATGTATAGGTTACCTGTTAATAAGGGGAGATCCATAAACCTGCTACAATAGAAGTCAATGGAAGGCGTTTAGATATTGCTTGGAGGATGGTGCATTTATGACTTATTCATGGATAGCAACTTCTTTTTCTAGCGACAATTCAGAGCTACTTCTAGCCCTTTATATTTCACCTGATGAAAGGAAATGTTGAAGTTCAGAAACGTTGTTAGAAAGGATAAAAGAAAATGTTATCCATAAAAGTGTCATGTATATATCCTGTTACAGGAGGTCCACAAATTTCAAGAAAACATCGCCATGGGCAAAAGCGGACTGACGATAATAAGACCAAATCTATTTGTGGGAAAAACTTGATCTTTTCACTTCAGAGTGTTGATAAGTGATGTAATAAAACAAATTTCGGTCCCAAATTTCTGTAAATTATAACATTTCATCTGGCAGATCCATTTGATTGAACACTTTGGAGTTCGGGTTTAATGCTCGGCAGCCGGCAGCCTATGTTCATTGTAACAAGCGACCAAATGGATGGGGTGGCCTGGCATCGTGGATCGTTGCACTGGATTGTTTAGGGTGTTTGTTTTTTTTTGTAATGTTTTTGTGTGTTGTTGTTAAACGCTGCACTCAGCGATATTCCACCTATATGGCGGGACACTGGATTGTCTGGTCCAGACTTAACTATTTTCAAGTTGCTGTGATATACAGCTGGACTATTGCAGAGTGCGGCTTAAACAACAAACGATAAACCAATTTATGTTTATTTATTTTTTCTTCTTCTTTCATATTCGTAGAAAAGAGAGTGCATGCTTGCGATATGGTCCAACATATGGGTACATTTAGTTATTCAGGTCAATGCTGAAATGAACATATTTTACACACACAAAAAAAAAAATGACGAAAATAGTTCTAAAACAATGAAATATAATAAAAGAACAGAGGCTTTCTGAATTTTTAGAAACTGAAACACCAGTGACCTCGATCGCCAAATACAGTCTTGCTTGGAGCCTTTCAAATGTGATTGTTTCAGTGTCTCTTTGGCAGACCAGCCAAACATGACCTTGCTGATATGGTTTCGTTGGAATTGCGGATTGGAACTGATCCCCATGCAGCAACCAATGGTGATTGTAAGACTGACTGACTGACTGAGTTTAGTTTTACGCCGCTTTTAGCAATATTCCAGCAATATCACGGCGGGGGACACCAGAAATGGGCTTCACACATTGTGCCCTGTGATTGTAAGACGTGACCAGGATGGTGACATGGTTTGTGGAGTATAACTGTGTACTCTTTTGCAGAGAAGTATCCTCGTATCCAAACGACATGTGCCGAGTGCTGGGTAATCTGGCCCAAACGCGAGTATGTACAGACCGCCGTCTTTCAGCTGGAATATTGCTGAGTGCCGCGTTAAATAACAAACAAAAATTATTTAAAGTGTCCCCGTAACAAATTCTATTTGGCTTGTACTTTCGTTTGCCCTACAGTTTACGAACAGCGTTGGTCAAATTGTCAGCTCCAAAAGAGCTCCATATATACACATTTGATTTTATCATGGCTTTCAATCTAGTGAGAGAGAAAAGCAGACAAAGAGGTGGATCATGTCAGTCACTGGACTGTCTTGTCAAGCCTCCACAGTTTACAGGTCGCCGTTTATTTGGAATGTTGTTGAGTATTGGCGTTAAACAATTATTAAGAAATAAAAAAAAGATTGTTTGAACATATTTTATTCCGTATTGAAAGGGATTGGGCACAAGTTATTCAACTTATTAAAGCCCTTTCCCGACAATTACATGGAAAAAAATACTTGAACAATACATGGACAACGGACACAGGCAAGACATATTACACATTAATTGAACTGCACGTGCATTGACCTTTATGACCCAACACTGCCGCTGTTACAGGTCATTGGCTCCCTCCCTCTGCAAGCATTCTGCGTTCTGCTGTTTATTTAGTTGACAGTTACATAGACAGATTCTTTAATACAAATGCATAAAATCGGTGATTTACAATGTGATTAGGTTGTCTGACAAAACATCCACTTGCACAGTTTGAGATCGATTGGGTCATTGGATGAAGAGATATTTACAAAAAACGGGTCCACATGCATTTCATGCCAAACTATAAGTACAATGAATGTATGGACTAACTTTTAGGATTTCAAAGCCTTGTATCAAATCAAATCAAACCGGCAGCGGACATACTTTGGACATTTTAATAAGAAATGATTGGCATCTTCCACCAGAGCACCACAAAGGCAAGAAACAATAACAAGAAACAATACATCCATTTTGTAAATGTCATTTTGCTACTCAATTTTTAATAGGCATAATAGGCTATGTCACATATTAAGTAAACTACGGCTGTAACGAATTCAAAGCGACCACTAACGTTAGTTCATTATAACTGCAGTTGCATGCATTTCGACTAAAATGTATTGCTAGCGTGAAATAAACAATGCCATTTTAGAAAGTGGTCAAATGTAACATATGTTATATTTAGGATTACACTTTCTCAGTAAAGTATAGATTCTAGTACTTTTGGGGGTTGAGTCCAATCTTGTATTGCAAGCGGTCGGGACGAAACAGTTCGTTATATCTGCCAGTTCGACGTAACCGACAAAAGTTGTGCTGATGGATGCACATCAAAACTAGAGTTTCAATACATTGAACAATGAACATGCAACAACAGATATAGATGGATGGATGGGTGTGTGGATGGATGGATGGATGGATGGACGGACGGGCAGGTGGACAGGCAGACAGATGTTCATACAAAGGTAGGGTAGTGTACGTGTAGGTAACAGACTTGGTGATGATTGCATGTGGTCGTATCCCCAACTACGTGTTACTGTTCCCATATAGAACGACAATCACTGCCTCGTCCGCATAGTCCACAGGGGCGTGTCACGCTTAGAAACAGCGTTAGAAAGACATATAGGTATATAGACCCTACCCTAGTACTATATAAAAGGAAAATAGTACTAGGGTAGGGTCTATATACCTATATGTCTTTCTAACGCTGTTTCTAAGCGTGACACCCCCTGTGGCATAGTCCACATTCGATTATTTCAAGACCGCGGTAATAGACCGGTAAACTGTTGTGTGGGGTAAAGAGAAAACTACCCAAAAGAGAGCGAAAAAGACTTCCGATCTGTACTCATTTGAGCGATATCCCCGTTAGAGTATGCATAGAATCCAATCTTAGCATTACCGCCATATCGCCATTACATGGAATTGTAACTGCCCATGCAATAACACGTACAATGTATATACACTTTGACTGTTGAACACCGCATGGGTTAGAGACGGTACATGTATACAATGTATATACACTTTGACTGTTGAACACCTCATGGGTTAGAGACGGTACATGTATACAATGTATATACACTTTGACTGTTGAACACCGCATGGGTTAGAGGTGGTACATGTATACAATGTATATACACTTTGACTGTTGAACACCGCATGGGTTAGAGGTGGTACATGTATACAATGTATATACACTTTGACTGTTGAACACCGCATGGGTTAGAGGTGGTACATGTATACAATGTATATACACTTTGACTGTTGAACACCGCATGGGTTAGAGGTGGTACATGTATACAATGTATGGAGAGTATCACTCTCATGTCTTTTCATAGGAAACACACTGCAATAAACGTTTTAACTCGGAGTTTGTCGACTCGTGTTGATATGGATAATGTTTATGTACCACTGATAAACTTAATGGTAAACAATTCAACACATTGCATGACAGTTGCACGCAAAGGAAACGACTCAGAGATAACCAAAGCGACGCTATTGTTAAAGTAATATTATGAATGTCAGTCGGTCAATTTTTTTAATTTGTAAAATTTAGTTGGAATATTATTATCCTTGTGAAACGACATGATTGTCTTTAGTTCTTCTTGATGTATCAAAGCTACACTTATATTCTCAATACAATGTGCTTACAATAGTTTTACTACAACCCTCAATATATAAATGTCTAAACTGTGTACATCTTACACAACCTGGGTATAAATGTCACATTGCTACATGTAAGATAATACATCCTTAAATGTAGATATATAGAGAATCTCACCCGAGTGTCTTTTGATATCAAATATATCACCACGAGTTGATAAAGTAACAAATATCCGAGGCTTGCCGAGGATATTTTTACTTGTATCAACGAGTGTTGATATATTTGATATCAGAAGACACAAGGGTGAGATTCTATTTATCATCAAAAATCACTCTTCATTAGTTTTCAATGAAAAATGTACATCTCTGAACACAGAACTGCCATTAGATTTGCAGTGCAGCGATGTCATAGCATTGTGACGTCATCAAATTCATGACGTCATAGCATTGTCAGGGCATTGTGCAAAATCTACTGTGAAAACGATATCTCCTAGGAGATATCGTCTGATCTCACACAAGCGATATCTCCTGTGGAACACAGTTTTGGATGATAAACTGATATACCAAGGATCTACGGATTTGGCACGTGGCCAAGTTATAATCATATCAACAAAGCACTGTTAGTAACAAAACCGTAGACCTACAGCCGAATGTTTTGTTTTCGTGCGTCAGTATAGTCAAAAGAGCCTATGCGTAATTGTATTTCAGATCATCGACCAGATTACAATTCTTACACATTTACAAAGGCCGATAAAAAACTGAACGTCACTGTTACCGATCCGTATTCAGAAAACGCTGCCATTCTGCAATTTTGGAGATTGGAATCGGATGTAGAACGGTGGCGGGCAGTCAACTATACTACCAATTGAATTCGATTGGCCTTGCAGTATGTGCAGAGTGCTGGCGTATTCTTCT